GGATTGGGTGTCTGACATTTGAGGGAGTTTAGTGAGGTTTTGAGAGGGTTTAACGCAGCCATTATCACTTTTATTTCCTCCTTTGCGTTCTGTTTTGTCTAGAACTCGAGTGTACTTGGCCACTTTCGCCTTGGCTCCTTTGAAAACGAATCAACTTGGTGTATAAGTATAACCTTTGGAAATGGTTACAACATAGTCCCTCCTGTCATTTGTTTCCGCTAAATCATTAGCCCTCAACCTTCCCGTTAGCCTATAAAACAACTAGTTTTTTTATTTTTTGATGGAAAGAGAATTTATAAAAGTTGAGAATGTGCCTTGAAAATTGATACTTGAAGCCCTTGAAAGAGAGAACAAGATGAGGTTATGAGAAGAAAGTAATCACAAAGGTTTAGGAATCTTGGTGGTAGGTTCTGGAACCGAGGAGAAGAGAAAAAGGGTCATGGGGCAATAAGGTTATGGAAGTTTATGAGGAAGTTTTGAAATTTGATGCCGAAGAATTCTTTTTAATGAGGTGTCAACTTTCTATTAGTGGATGTAATCTTATTTTTGTTACCAAACACCTCAAACTCAAAACCGTTATAAATATGCGTTTATTTGTAAACCCTAAGTGTGGGTGAGTGAGAGAGTCACCAAAAGAGAGAGATGCAAAGAGAGGCTTGTCGTGTGAGAGACTAAGTGTGAGTCTTCATTGAAGTGAGAAACACTTCACCAATAGTGGGTGAGTTTGTGAGAATTCTTGAGAAATATTGAGTGAGAGTGGGTGAGATCATTTGGGCCTCCATTGGTGAGGGATTGTCTCCCAAATTGATGTACTCTTACTTGATTATAGTGGATTCTCACATTCTCCATGGTTTTTTTTTTTTCTCTCCCTATTTTAGGGTTTTTGAAGTAAATTGGTGTGTTAGTTCACTTGTGCATTTTGTTTCCATATAGATCCTTTATGTTAAGATAGATAAGTTTGAAATTGCAGAAAAATGAAAATGAATGTTCTGAAATGTGATTTCACTTTTTTTAAGGATTTAAAAATCTTGCAGAATATAACAGAATTCAAAATTCTCTTAGAAATTATATATAGAACTCTGACTTTGCATAGAAATTTACATTGCCTGAAAAATCATAATTTGTAGAGATGTAATCTCTACAAAATGACACCATTAACCTCTTGGATTAGATAGACAAGTTTTATGTGTACCACACACTTATGTCTAATATAAGTAGTTATGATTTAATCCTTGGACACCAATAACTTCATTAAACATGAAGTATATACACTAATAGAAGGTTTAAATCGAGAGATACCTTTTTTAAGCATATTTCTTGTCAAGTAAAACTGAATTAACATTTCCAAATTAATGGGAGAATGTTGAATAGTTTGCAAATGTTAACATCCTATATCAAGAAAGTATGAGAACTTAAAGGAGTTTATTAAGGCCTATTTTTTACCAACAAATAGATAAGTAATAAAATGTACCCAAAAAAAAAAAAAGATAAGTAATAAAAAATAGATAAGTAAAGTGAAATCTAAGGTAAATTAAGTCATTCCCCTTATATATATAGTCAAAGATGAGCACTTGGGGGCACCTTGGACTTGTTTGACTTCCATAACATTAATTTTTTATTATTTTTAGATATTTAATTTATTTTATTAAATTCAAATCTAGATAGACATGTCTAAAAATTAGACATAACTTTTGGAAGCTTAAAGATATCTCTATGAAATGATATCATTCGGTAATCTCTATGAAATGATGTCATTCGGTAGAGATTACATCTCTACAAATAGTGACTTTTCAGGTAATATAAATGTCTATGCAAAATTAGAGTTCTATATCTAATTTCTAAGAAAGTTTTGAATTCTATTGTATCTTAGAGAATTTTTAAATCCTTAAAAAAAGTGAGATCATATCTCAGAACATTCATTTTTATTTTTCTACAATTTCATTTTATTTCTTTATCACACACTCCTTTGCTCTAGCCACAATATCACTCATAACCTTCATGTGCAATCCCCACTCCGGCCTCCATGGACTAGCCTTCGCACATTCCAAAGCTGAGATATTTAAATGCCTTATCATCAACACCGAACTAGCAACATCCAAAAGCTGCACCCTTCCACAACCATCCAAACCCTCATCTAGCAAAGGAAATGCCAACAAATCTCCCTCCACCACTGATAGTCACAAACCACTCCTCATCCTCGCCACCAAATTATCCACCTTTTCTTGATCTTGCCCAACCCTTCAAAATTGCCCCGGAAAAGCCATGCTTCACACCCCCAATGGA